CATATACATATACATACATACATACATACATACATACATATATATATCAGAAGACCAATGCTATTTCCAAGAAGTACCTCGAATTTGCAACGTGAGCGTATCAGATAGACATGTCGCGTGTGTGGTGAGTAGGTACATTTGCACATACCTACCTGTCCACAGTTGCGCTTGATAAAGGGCTGCCAGCAGAGTAGTTGCAGTCGATACTCCAGGTATTTAGCGTAGCGGCCGATGCCGACTTCAATAGACCTAGGGTTTAGGGTTTAGGGTCTAGGATTTGTCGAATGCCGTGGTGTGTCAATTGTATGCGTCATAAGACAATGTACAGAACATCTCTGGTGATAAGATGGCTTTAGTTGTACTTCGTCGGTCATTGCATAAGTCTCTGTACCTACGAGTGTAACACATGTTTATATTGTACACAAAGTGTATTGTACTTCGTCTGTCGTTGCATAAGTTTCTGTACCTACCTGCGTAACACAAAGTGTGCATTGAAGGAGGCACACTGACACAGTCCATTCCAGCGTTTCTGGCCAAAGACTTGGCACCGGTATACATGTACGCCGTACGTATCGAAGTAGGAGAGTGCACGAGTATACAGCCATTACCATACTTACACTTAACCACAAGCGAATAACACTCACCTCTAAGGAAAAGAGAGGATTGCATCGAGTCTGCCCCAGACTCTGGGAGGTCACTCGGGAACGGTATAGTACGACATTCAGCATATGCTCATTGGCTACTACACACACAGGCCAGTTACCTACCATCATAAGCCCTTACCTACTACTATTTACCTACCATCATATTACCTTACCTACAACTATTTACCTACCATCATATCACCATACCTACTATTATTTACCTACCATCATATTGCCTTATCTACTATTATTTACCTACCATCATATCCCTTTACCTACTATTATTTACCTACCGTCATATCACCTTACCTACTAATATTTACCTACCATCATAGAAGGGCGGGCAGGCAAACAGTGTGTTGCAGCGTTTGGTTGTGGGTTTCCTAATGGATGATATGTTTTTGATCAGGTCTTCGGGTCCCTCTGGGAGAGCCAACGCGTGCCTGTGATCTGTTCGCGAGGCATAGTATAGCGACATAAGCCCTATATGGAAAGCACATGTATGTATATAGCAAGGCAGTGAGATGATGAGTGGTATTGTGTATCAGCTATGTCTCTAGTACATATTATATACAACGCACATGTATGATATAAACTTATAAACTAAACAAACTACGTACGATACATACACGAAGAACATATGGATACACATTTACATAAACACATACACAGCACAAACTACTGAAGACACATACAAAAAACTACTTATGGATACAGATAATTAAAAACAAACTTATTACACAAAGCTATAGATACACACACAGAGATACTTATGCATACACATGGATACAAACTTATATATACACACAAGCATAAACCTATATATACACATATACAAACTACTTGTGAATGGACACGTGGATATATACTTGTACAAAAATACATGAACTTACAGACAAACGTACACGAATACCTATGGACACACATGGATATATACTTAAATAGATACACATATACATCGACGTATATATGCACACATACACATATTACTTATGAATACATGTGGATATATACTTATAGTTTCACATTACATATACTTACATATACACACATAAATACTTTTGAAAACATCTGGATACATACTCATAGATACACATATACAGACACTTATAGATGCCATACACAGGTACTTCCAGATACGCACATGCACAAACTTACACATACACATAAACACATACACACACACCCACACATGCTTCCTTACCATTGCTGTTATATGCATGGGCTACAGACGTGGCGAGTACGAAGGTGTGGCTGCTCCCATCCGCCAGCAGTCGACGGAACGTCTCCTGTGACTGCGATAGCACCGCATCCCACGACAATAGGACGATCTTGGGTTCTGTGAACGATCATACGTGAGTTAAAACCGTTTCAGATACCAGTTAGGGCTCTATAGGAGTGAGGATTCAATCCAAGGACGCTTGCTTCTCTTGATGTATAGGGTCAGTTGAGGGACTTCGGTGACGATTGAGTGGACAATAGTAGGTAGAATCCTGCCACATATGCGCACCATTAAAGAGATAGGTTACATAGTGGGATGTATCAATTGGGAATTGTCATTAAAATGCTACATGTTCTATATATATATATATATATATATATATATATATATATATATATATATATATATATATATATATATATATATATATATATATATATTTATACACACACACACACTAATA